TCCTCTTTTAAAGACTTTATTGATTTTTTTGACATATTTATTCTCTTTTAGTGGCCATTTGATAAACTTTATACATTCATCTTGTGTTGTATCTGACACATTGTGTGCTGGTATATTAGCAAATAAGCTATTATTTCGACTACAGTCTTTTCTATTTGGCACCTACATGCTGTTTTTAAAGGTATTCCAACTATGTCAATTTCTTTTTCAATTTTTGGATTTTTTTCCTGTTCTGTTGCTTTATTTTTAATTACATCTTGCATTGTGTCTTTGGCTATCTTTGTTAGCTTTTGTTTTTTTCTTTTATCTGTTTTTTGACTTTCTCTATATCTTCTTTTCTTTAAATAGTTAAAATATCTTCTTGCAGTTCTTTATTCTGCTGTTGGATTTTTTTTCCTTTTCTTAGTATCACCTCTTGCATTTGCTTTACTAAATCTAATTTTTTCTCTGGTTGTTTTTTTCCAGCTTTTTCTATTATCTTTCTTGCTATTTGTAGAAAAGCTACTTTATTTGTATTTTACTTAGTGAGTGTTGCTACAATCTTATTCTCTCTGTTTGGCACTACATATGTATTGCTTGCTTTATTAAAAAAGTGTTTATTATATACATTGTCCAATGCTCAGTAAGCTCTTCTTATACAGATTGCTTTTATGTTCTCTTTATACTCTTCAGTTAAACTTTTATTCATTACTAAATCTGTTTTTTTCTAGAATCTTCTTCTATTTTATTGTTGTATATTGGTTTGTCTATTTTGTATATAGCTATTTGCACATGTTTGTTGTTGTTGCTTGATATGTTATGTGACTTTGTGCAATATAAACAGATCTACTTTTAGGGTCAGATGGAAATCTCCACAATTGTTATTTCAATGCTAAAATTTTTTAAAACATTTTGCTTTTCTCTTATAACTACTCTAATATTATTATGTTTCTTTTGGTTTCTAAAATTGTTTAGTGCATTTTTTGTTGCTGCTTCTTTTAGCTTAGTGCTGTTTAAGTAGTTTCTTATTGGTTTTCTTGGAAAATCTTGAGTTACTTTTTTATCAATTTTGTGTCAAAATGATTGTTAGGAAGAGTCCTGACTAGATAATATTAACTAAGTCTACTAAAAAATTAATTACTATTAATTTTTGTTATATATTATATAATTAAATATCATTAATAAGATGTGGTAACTTAGTGAAATAAATAAGTTAGCAAACTCTTTAAATAATAAGTTAGATGTTCAAATCCTATTAATAGTAAAAATTTAAATAATTATTTATATAATATTTATATTATAATAACTGATTCTAATAATTAGATTAAGATATCTGTAATAGTAATCATATTAGCATGACTGATAGGTTATGAAGCATTTGTATAAATATAGTATTACATAAAAAAATGCAAACTGGTATTAAACAGTGCAAACTTTAAATAAGTCTTAGTGATTATATAAATCTGTTGAAATTAAAAAACAAAAATTTTATTTAAAAAAATCTAAGTAAAAAAATAGCATAAATTTTTAATAGTACTATTATAAAGACTAATTTTAAAAACAGATACCAATATTAAAATATCTAAACAGACAAAAACCTCTGAGCTAAAAGTCTTAGAGATATTATAAATCATGTTACTAAAACAAACTAAAAAAAAAGAATATTAAACTAATTTAATAACTAATAAACTAATCATAGTTCTATTTAAAAAATAAGCAGAGATATATTGAACTTATTTGAAATAAATACTAAGATCTAAGTAAATTTTATAAGATCATAGCAATTTAATAACTAGCTCTAACTACAAATATTAATTTTATTATAGTAATACTAAATTATATATAAAAATAAGTACAGAAGGCTTTAGATAGTTTATTTTAAAAATAAAATAATCTTAAGATCAAAACAATAATCTAAATATAATTCATAATGTTAATGCAGATGCAAGTTCAGAAAGTTTAAAATAAAACATTTAAGCATAAGTATTAGATAGAGCAATTGGTAAAAAACCTTTAAGTGAACTTCTTAAATAAATAATATAGAAGAATTATATATGTAACTAATTGTATATTCTTTTTGTAATAGTTTATAAAATTACATTACCAAAAATGTTATTAATAAGAAGTATGATGACCTAATAATATAGTTAAATTGTCAACTTTTTAAGTAGTAGATTGAGTATTCAAATCCTATTAACAATAAAAATTTAAATAAACATCTATATAATATTCATATTATAATAATTGTTATTAACAATTGAGTTAGAATATTTGTAATAATAGTTATATCAGTATGATTGACAGATTATAAGGCATTTGTATAATTTATACAAAAGAATGCAAGCTAATAATTAAATAGTGCAAGTACTAAATAATTTCTTATGATTATATAAATTTATTAAAATTAGATAACAAGAAATCTATTTAGAAAAACCTGAATAGAGAGGTAATCAGATCTTTAATAGCATTACTGTAAAGGCTAGCTTGAAAAAACAAATACCAAAATTATAGTATCTAGTTGTAGTACTTAAACAAACAAGAACCTTCAGATTAGGGAAGTTTTAAAAATACTACTAACTAGGTTATCAGAACAAACTAAAGAACAAAAATATTAGACTAATTTGATATACTAATAAACTAGTCATAGTTTTATATAAGCTATTTGAATTAAAAGTCTAGTAAAAAAGCAGATAAAAAAACATATATATACTAAAGTACTGGAGTTATATTATGAAGTAGATGCTAGAGTCTATATAAGCTCTATAAGAATACAGTAATTTAATGATTAACCTCTGATTACAAGTATTAATTCTGCTATAATAATACTGAATCAGTTATAAAAATAAGTATAAAAAACTTCAAGAGGTTTATTTTAAGAATAAAATAGTTCTAAGGTTGAGATGATAATTTGAGTATTTAGATATAACTCAGTGATATTAATACAGGTTACAAGTTTAGAAAGTTTAAAGTAAAACAGTCAAGCAGAAGTATTAGATATAACAATTAATAAGAAACCTTTAGACAAACTTCTTAAATAGGTAATATAGAAAAGTTATATATATAATCAATTGTATACTTTTTTGTAATGGTTTATTGAATCATATTATTAAAAAAATTATTAATAAAAGTCAAAAGATCAAAGAGGTCACTTTAATAAAAAAAAAAACATCATTAATAATAAAATACAATTAATTGTAATTAAATTAATTTTTTTTTAGTAAATTATTATATTACTCAAGTTTAATATAATAACTTAGTAAACAAATAATATGTGGTCTAATTATTTAAAAATTACAATTAATTAACTAATTGTGATTGTGCCACTAATCAATTAATTAAGTTCAAAGAATTGTCTTACATCAATTATTTGATAGACTTGATATTCACTACAACACCTATATATATATACTATGTATATAAGAAATTATTCAAATTTTTTAAAAAGTATATACATATATATATAAGTACATATGCATTATATGACTAATTATAGAATTTATTATATATATTATTAATTAAAATTTTGTTTTTATTTATGTTATCTGGTCTTGAAATTTAAGGATAGAGTATATATAGATCATTTTTATATAGTTTTATATATCTTTTTAAAATTTTTATCTAAAATTGATATATGTTACTAATAAAACTTTTTTATTTTTTAATTAATTAAGAAAAAAAAATTTATAATATTATAAATAAAATTATCTATTTATTATAGTAAAATTTTGAATTATTGTACTATTTTAAAAAATTACACTTTTATATATGATAAAATTTTCTTAGATTGGTTAAAATTTTCTTATGTAGTACAAAATTGAAGAATTTGATTGGTTAATTTATGTAAGCCTATAAATTAATTTTATTATATAATTTTTTATTCTAATGTTTAAAATTTGATATCTTAATAAGTTTTTATTCAATTTTAATAATTTTGTTATTATTAGAATCAGAAAAACCTACTCTATAACTTTTAATTAATAATTCAAATTAGTTTACTTAATATGGTTTTTTATAAATTTAAATATAAAAAAGAATTACCACTAAGTTTATATATAATTTTAAAATAGTACACTCTACCCTTAACTAAGGATATTTGAATAGTAGTACATAGTCACATATAATATTTTAACCAATCATAATAGAAGGCACTAACTAGTCCTATCCTTGTATATATTTTAAATTTTTTCTGAATGCTCTATATTTTCTCTAATTACACAAAAAATCATCTAATTTCCAAAAAACTATAAAAAAAAAAGAATTTAATAGTAAATATTTATATCTAATCTTTAAAATTTCATATACCAATGAGTTTTAAACTAATTTTAATAATTTACTACTATTAGAATCACAAGAACCTACTCTACAAATTTACTTAAAAGCTCAAAAAATATTTAATTAATAAAAATTTTTGTAATTGAAATTACAAAAAAAATATGCCATCAAATTTGTATATAATTTTAAAATATTACACATTAACTTTAATTAAAAAATCAAAAACACATGACTGAACACGGCTTTAGACATCCTTCTTTTAAAACTTACATATAATTAACATAACTAGTATTAGCAATATATAGTAAAAATATTCGCTTCTAAGTGAGGTTCTTGGAGATGTGGATTATTTTGAATTAATTTAAACAATGAATATCTACGTTCGTTTAAGCTAGAATTTGCTTTTACGGCGATTTTTTTATTAGTGAAACGTTACGTTCCTAAAAAGTACTTTAAAGTGTATCAACAAGTTACCCGGCCAATTGATCTAAATCAGATGAATGTCGTCCTATGACATTTACATTTAGGAAGGTTTGATAATTCGTATTCTTCATAAGATGTAAATAGTATTGACATTACTGGGGTAAGTGGCTGGGTAAGCTTTAATAAACACTCTTAAATTTAAACCATTGAATCCAGTAAGCAATTCCCTTTATTCATATTGACTTTGTGATTTTTTCTATATACATATGTTTTGAGATTTCTTTGCACTAATGCCTAATACGCACAATTCCTCTACGTGTAACATATTAGATCAATTCGCCACTGAGAACTAAAACTATTGGCACATGATCACTAGCCCCATAACATTCACCTCTATAATAAATATATAATTTTTATTAAATGCAAAAAGGTTCACAGGCCGACAAATTAATAGAAGAATACGTACCTAATTTCACTCTCGATCACTCTATCTAACAATCTTTTGCTTACGATGTGATAATCTAAACGCCATCCAATCCCTTTAGCGCGGCACTTAAATCGATAGGAATAGTAAGTGTAACAGCCTTCTGTGTCGGTATGTATATTGCGCCAAGTGTCAATAAATACGTTATTTCCTCCATTCAAAATTTTGTCAAATCCGGATCGTTCTTCAATTGTAAATCCAGCAGTTCTTAAATATGAAAATATTTGAAATGAGCATCAAATTAGTGTAACGTTTGATGATTTATCATTACCTTTGATTAGTTTTTGGACGCGCCAAATCAATTTCTTTGTGGGCAACATTCATATCCCTAAAAAAAGGACAATTTATATTGCATCGGTCAGTTCGGCCTCGAAGTACACACGTACCACATGACCTATTCAATCTTACAAATCGCTAAAACTTATACAAAAAATTTCTTTTTTTCAAAAAAAACCCCCGGTTCCTTAAACAAATTCCGACATTAAAGTACTCATAGTAATTATTACCCTGCCCAAATGACTGGCTTCTTTTCATCAAGCTGCCTTAAATATCGTTCCATAGCTTCATCCCAAGTAACTCGCTCTTTTAATCTAACAAGTTTTTCTCCCGCGTTTGGCACATAAACAGCTACATAATACAATGTCTTGAACTCCAATGTAATTACGCGACCTTTAGTGATCTCAGGTGTAGGATGTGTAGAAAGACCAAAAGCAACAGAAACCGGTTCGATCTTTGAGAACACTGCGATTCCACCTGTTAAATAAGAAATAACATTAAAATTAAAATTTACAATTAATATTTTAAATTGTCGGAAACGAACTTTACCATATCCTTTTTTTTCTTCAAAACCCCACCAATGATATTTATATTTTTTGGTGTCAATGGCATTAAATTCTTTTTCATTGACTTTCGTTTCTTGAAGACATAAAATATCTGCGTCTTCGGCTTCTACATATGTATGATATCCCTACGAAATTAAAATATTAATAAAATTACAATTGCATAAAAAAAATTAAGAACCTTTTCCACCTTTTTTAAAGCTGCTTTCAAGCCGCCAACATTCCATGACGCGAACGTAATAGTTCCTGAAGGTTTTTGAAACTCCAATTTTTCGGGCATTTTAGTATTAACTGGCACAGAAGTGGTGGTTTTAACTTTCTTTAGTTCAGGTTTTGTGGAGGAAACTTCCACCTTGTCAGAACTCATTTCTTCGCTTTCTTCAGTTAACCTTTTTTTTGAATTGCTCTTGGTGGCTTTTTCCATACTTATTGTGACGAAATATACAAAATATGACACGGTTATAAGAATGGTGCGAGAAGAGTATAGAGTTATTACGTGATTTGGTTGAAATAAGGCAAACATTTATAAGCTAATTATTATATGTAATCCAATTGGATTATTCTCCAAACATAAGTTTCTATTGCTTACTAAAATATATTTATAATTGATCCATTAGTATTCTTAAGAATTTTATTTTAAAAATTTATTAAAAGGGTTTTAAAAGTTATATTAAGGCAATAAAGTATTACTAATTTAAAAAAGAAAATAAGATTATTATTCTAGTGACCATTAAGAAAAAAGATTTAGCATGTAGGTTTAGGTTGCAGATAACTAGTCTAAGCTTTCAATCTTAATATCTAGTAGATATAAAATTCAAATATAAATTCTTTTGTATATTTATTTATAAAAAATTTAACTAAGTTTTAATAAAGATAAAAGCATGACCTTATCTTTAATATTTTAAAAAAAGATTTAATATAAAAAATAGAAAAATTTTATTATATAGAATAATATTTAGAAAAAACCAATATTTTACAATTATAAAAAGAGATTTGTTAATGCCACCCCCTACTTTTGCTAATGCCACCCCCTTTATATAAAATATTTAATCTTCGACCTTTCAGACCCTAATTATTAATTAGGGTTAGATTATGTAAGGGGTGACATTAACAAAAATAGGGGGTGGCATTAACAAGTCTCTTATAAAAAATTTGATTTTAAAAATAAGAATTGGAATGGTTAAGCTGCTAACCTTTTACAAATAAGATCAATAGTTTAAACCAAAATTTAAGGATTTTAAAATTTTATAATCTAAAATAGAAGTCAAATCAGATGTGAAACATTATAAAAAGTTCTAAAATAAAGAACAAAAATAGATTAAAAATTCTTGGAAAGAAATAAACAATACAAAGAAAAGACATTATATATAATAGCAATGTTACAAAAATTTCTGTTATATGAAGTATTATATAAATAGATTCTTTAGAAATAGCATTAATATCTTTGTATATACAACTTTTTTCTGTAAATTTCGACCAAAATCAGCAAAAAGCAAAAACAGAAAACAATACAGAAATACTGTATGCTAGAAAACAATACTTTAACCTATAACAAAAAAAATAAAATGATAAAAGTTGTATATAGCTAGAAACAAAGACAAAGAAAATTCTATAAATAGCATAACAAAGAAATAAAAAGAAAATTTTTGACAGAAAAATTCAGTTTTTGAAAAAATTTTAAAAAATAGCTATAACCTTGTTATGCAGATTATTTAGATTATACAAAAAACAAAAACAAAACAAACAAAGCATATAAGAAGACATGTGTACCAAATAGTATAACTATATATATATAAAGTATACAAAAAGAAAGAACCTGATTCATATAGACTAATGACTAACACATATAGCTTAGATATTATATACTATATTAGAGAAATAGAAGATTGAAATTATAAATATGTAGATTGCAAAATTTTAAACCAAGCTCTTAAAATACTAACAAAAGATCCAAGTAATATAAAGCATATTACAAAAGACTTAGTAATCTATAACTTAAAACACATTATAACATATAACTTGCTAATATATAGCAAGTATTAGAAGTCTTGAGAATAGCAAAAATAATATCAAAAAAAAACTTTATCAAAAACTTTTTCTGATGATCACTCAAATACAAAATCGATAAGAAAAAAAAACAAAATTTTCTTACAATTACTAATAAGAAGTGACTCAAACAACACTAAGCAAAAAAAAAGCAATAACAGAAAATATACTAAGCTAGTATAGAAATTATAAGCAACACTAGAGGCTTGCAAATTGCCTATTTTTGAGGTTCAGACTGGCCTGCAGTTAGGATTAAAAATTTTTTTTAGGTCCAGCCTGGCCCACATTTAAGTTTATTATTTTTTTGCCAGCCTGGCTCAGCTCATATATATTAAATTTTTTCTTCATCCCAGCTCAGCCTAGCCTGGTCTGCAAAAATTTTGTATATAATTTTTCAAAATTTTAGGCCTGCACTGACCTACAATTATAAAGTTTTGCAAATTTTTTGGCCTGGCCCAGTCTGCAATTATAAAATTTTGTTTCAGGTCTAGGCTGCAAGACCCAATGCAAACCTCTAAGCAACACAGTACTAGCAGAATAGTTATAAAAACAAAGCAAGCTTTTTAGAAAAATTTTAGTATTAAAATGATAATTATAGAAATTGTTATTTGACCCTGAACATAGATCTGTTTACATTGCACAAAAGTCATATACCAAAGTAAACAATAACAAACATGTAAAGAAACCAAACACAAAAATAGTTGAGGCAATATATAGTATTAATACAAAGGAATCTTTTAGAAAAAAATAATTACAGCAATGGATAAAGGTATATTCAAGAAGTATAAAGAAAATATAAAAGCAATTTGTATTAGAAAAGCATACTAAGCAATAGGCAATATACATAATAAGATTTTCTTTAATGAAGTGAATAAAACATATGCAATACCAGATAAAGAGAATAGAATTGCAGCAATGCTCTTAGAACAAGACCCATATGAGGTAGCTCTGCTATAAATAACAATAAAAATAATTGAAAAAGCTGAAAAGGAACAGTTTGAAAAAAAGTTAGACTTATTAAGACAAATGTAAAAAGTGGCAGTAGTAAAAAGAGAAAAGAAATCAATAGCAAATAGCAGTTACTATAGAAGTATAAGAAGATCTGCACAAAGCAACACAAAAAAAGAATACAGTCAACAAGAAATCAAACATTAAAGAACTACAAGATAATATCAAATTTGTACAGAATGAAGCAAATCTGAAGTAAATTATCTAGATAATAGACAAACAAAGATATAGCTTCTTATCTAAGAGAAAAACTTGACAAACAGTCAAAAAAATTAAAACAAAATGTGACAAGATTGGATAAAAATATAAAACAAGACCCAACAAATAAAGATTTAACAAAACAAAAAAAAAGCCAAAAAATTGAAAAAAAAATAATATAGTTAGTATATCTCTCAAAAATAGCATATAGGTACCAAATAAAAGAAACTTCAACTAAAATAACTGTCTATTTGCCAACATACCAGCATACAACATGCCAGAGTTAATACAAGAAGAATATATAAAATTTATAAGTTGGTTATTAAAAGACAATGAACATGTTAAAGAAATTAAAAAAGTCTTCAAAAAGAAAAATTTATGGATAGAAGTAGACTTCGACTATAAATATAGCAGAAATAAAGCAATTCAAAGAATTAGCAAAAAGAAGAGTAACTGGTATAAACTGATATCAGAAGAAAGAAAGTATAAAAATAGAAAACAGAAAGCATACAATAAAAAATACCAAGAGAAAGAAACAATATACAGAAAACTGAAAAAAAGATTTACAACAAGAAAGTTAAAAGTAAAGCAAACATAAAATATCAGAAAGTTGAAAGAAAGAATAAAAATAATGAATACTTAATAATATAGAACTTATTAATAGATATTAACAAAAAAGAGCTGGAATATATCTGTAGAAGTTTCAAGAATGCCCAAATAGTAAGAATTAAAAGGTCCAAGTACAAGGCTCTTCAATAGTGCAAATAGGAGAAGTTAAAGAAGAAGACATCCCATGTGCTATACTAATCAACAACAACAAACTAGTATGAATAACCAGAGAAAAAGAGAATTATGAAGCAAGAGAAGAGCAAAGAAGATATATGGCAAAACTAACAGAATTACCTAGAAACACCTTAAAGGTTTTACTATTATGATGTTTGAGAAACAAAAGAGTAAAATCAGTATATATCTCTTCAAACTGAAATAGAAATCAAAGAAGAACAGCAATAGTTATATTTGCATTAAAAAAAAACATGAATGCAGCCCAAACAAAACTGATTTAATATAATAACTTTCAAATGTATTGGGTAAAAAAAAAAAAGAGAAACAAGAAAAAGAGAAAATCTTAAAGAAGAGAGATGAAAAAACTAGAACAGACTCAGCCAAACTTTTAGCATAGAAGAAGATAGAAATGGCTATAAAAGAAAAAGAGAAAAGAACCATTTGAACATAAATAAAAACAGAAACAGTTTAAGTCAGGGATTAGTTTTACTTAAAGAAAGAAACAATACTTATAACTGATATAAGAAAAACCAAACAGGTAATATAAATGCAAGAAGAAGGAGAGAAAAAAACCCTAAAGATAGATTAGCAGAACTTAAAACACAGGAGCAAAAGAGAGAGTCACATATAAAGAACATCCTAGAGCAAATTTTAAAGAGATTAGAAAAGCTAGAAGAGGCAAGAGAGGCTAGAAAAGGCCTAACTAATTACTCCTGAGAGCATCCTAGTTGAATTCACAAACATGGATAAGAAGATAAGAGATTTTTTGCATAGTGAGAAAAGAGTTTTTAAAGTGAAAAGTAAAGAAAAATCTACTGATTCAAATAAAACAAAGAAAAGAAAAGGGAAAGAAACAGCTGAAAATACAGAGACAAAATACAAATATCTAAAAGAAAAATAGAAAAAAGAAAAGAAAGTAATTAAAATTGCATATCATAATGTTAATGGACTTAAAACCAGAGGTTGAAAATTAGAAAACCTACTAGGCTGGGCAGAAGAAAAAGAAATAGCAATTTTGAAAATAACAGAAATGAATATTATAGAAAAAGAAGAAAAAATCTTAGTACATAATCTTAATGCAAGATTTAAAGGCTATTGGATTAGTGCATTATCAGACAAGAAAAAAGGATCTAATGTTGAAATTCTAATAGAAAAAATCTGAAAAAAACATGTAGAAGCAGTTAAAATGCTTAGTGAATATATAATAGAAGTAAGATTATACTTCAAACAACTAGAATTAATAGTAGTTGAGGTGTACATTTCACTAAACAACAAACTAATTAGCAAGAGAATTTAACAAAAAATCATAAAAATAGTAACAAACAGAAGAAAGAACACAAAAATAATCATTCTTAGAAATTTTAATCATACAGTAGACAATATATTAGA